TACACATATTCTTTGCCTTTCGCACGAAATTTGTTGCGTTGCATTTTATCTAAGGCAAACGCTCGCGAACCGAAGCGTTCTTACATGCTTGACTAGGGGTTTCCGACCACTCCATTTTTCGAACGGCGTTATATCTTCTAATGAATTAGATGGTGACCGATTACGTAAATACGTATCTATAGCTACCGCTTCAGCCCATAACTGCTCCTCTAGATTCGCATGTACTAGCATGCTTCTAGCCATTTCCACAACTGATCTGTTTGCTCTTTCTGCAACACCATTTTGTTGCGGTGTATATGATACATTTAATTGTCTTTTGATACTCGAGTCACTTAAAAACTTGTTAAATTCTTTATTTAAGTATTCACCGCCATTGTGACTACGTAATGCTTTTATTTTATTTTTTGTTTGACAATCGACTAAACTCTTAAATATTTTGAATTTTTTCAGTACTTGGTCTTTGGTTTTAATGAAGTAAACAAAGACTCTTCTGGAATAATCGTCTATAAATGTCACAAAATAACGGGCACCATCAACTGACGGTACGTTTATTGGACCGTATACGTTCGTATGTACAAGTTCTAATAAATCTTTTGTAACTCGTTCAGCTTTTTGCGATAACGGCACTGCACTTATTTTGGTTTAATGACATGTGTAACAATTTATATCAGAAGAAAAAATTCAAATATCAAAACCACGAACTAAATCCTTATTTGAAAGCTCTCTTAAACTTTTAAAATTTAAAAGGCCGTACCGATTTTGCCATTTTATCGCATTTACATTTTGTGTGCAAAATAATGATTCGTGTTTATTAGTGATTAGTATAAACAAAGTGTTGCACATTTTTGCCTTTAACAATAGCGAACCGTCTTTTGTTTTAATTGTAGCTGTATCATTTTTAAACAAAATTGAATATCCAAAACTTAGTGTTTTAAACACTGAATAAAAATTTATTTGTAATGATGTAACATAAAACACATCCATCAGTTTTATTTTGCATTCTGTATGAAAAAACAAACACAATTATTTCCACACACGCAAAAGTTTATGTATTTATTTAATTTACGAAAATTAGACTAGAATAACTTATAAATTACTTATATTTCGCGAAGCCAAAGAAAGCGTGCACACTCTGCCAGTATCCAAGTACGAAGAAGGAGAAAGAAAAAGCAAAAATGAAGCCAAATTATTGCTTGTCAGATGTTAAAAATGCCACTGTCAAAAACTATTAAATGGGTGATGCCATATCGACTGGTTGCTGTGCCAAATCTCAAACACATTCACTTGTCTTTATTTTTACCGCGCCTTTATCGGGTGAGTTTACAACATCACCTTTTGATCGTGTTCAACAAACGACACGAACATACTCTTTTCATAACACATATGAAAAGTTGCGCCACTATCTACATACCATGTATTTCTGTTTATAACGATATCATTACTTGCTGCGAACACAGAAAAAGAAAGTTTTTGCTTATTGTTGTCAAACTGCTTATTGCTCTATTGTTTTGATCTGCATTTTGTTGCTATGTGGCCGCATTTGCCACAGCGAAAACATTTGCCGCTAAACTTCGTTTCATTTTTTATTTCATCCGCCTTTTCTTTGTTTTTACTTTGTTGCTTATTCTGCACATAGAGCGCTTGCTGTTGTGACTCACTTTCATCTCTTTGTTCTCTTCGCGCTCCTTCTTCTAGAAGTTTAACCTTTATGACGTCAAACGTACGTAACGAATCGCGTGTTTCTATGGCGACTACGAAATTTTCATATTTTACAGGCAAGCTAGAAAAAAGCATGGTGACCTTGAGTTCTTCGTTAAGCGTAATGTCCACTTGGGCCAGTTTATCAATAACATCGACAAACGAATTGATAAACTCCGTCACACTGTCACCATCAGACATACTAAGGGCCAGCAATTGCTTATACAAAGCAACCTTTCGAACTGGACCACTTGGCATATGTACTTCGCGTAACTTCTGTCATGCTGAACTCGATGTAGGGCATTTTTTTATATAGTTTATCTGTGACGGATTTACATTTAATATTGTATTTGCCAAGGCTTTTTCATCCAGTCTGTCTCAGATAGCATCATTATCATCTTTTTTTGTTAGTTTACCGCAAACGACATTCCACAAATCTGCACTAAATTATATGAAAAATATATTGAAAAATTTATGATATGGCGGTATATGTTAAGCAGTTTACAGACGAAAATAAAGTTGTTTATATGCAATATATTTGATAATTTTAGAAAATCTGTCTACTCATTTTTAATGATTTATATACTAAAATATTCTAGAATATGTGTATTTTTCAAAAAAGTACCGTGCAACATTGTACCCTTTCCTAAAATTTATAATTAATTAAATATTATTAGTATCCCCTAACACAAAATATAACAGCCAACAAATGCCTGCAACAGAGTTCAATGCATTTGTGAATATGCTTCAAAAGTAGTTTTTGTTAATATCTTTGTTGTTTGTTACTTGGGTTTAATAATTCTTGCATCAATTCATATGAAAAAAATATAAACAATTTAAAAAAAAACCGTGCAGTATTGTATTACTTCTTATTTTTTTTAATATATATTGAAAAATGTATGATATGGCGGTATATGTTATGCAGTTTACAGACAAAAATTTAGTTTTTTATAAGCAATATATTTTTAAATTTAATTTAAATATTAAATTCATTATTATTTAAATTAAATGTTATTATTATCTCTTTAACACAGAATATATCCGCCAATAAATACCTCTAACAGAGTTCTTTATTAAACTTTACAGTGGTGTTGAGTTTTTAGCATTGCACAGCTTTTCATCTGAATCTGTTATTAGAATGGTGTTAGTTAACATACATTTTATTCGTAAAAACACCACTTTTTTAAACATATATAATTAAAAAACGTTCTACTGGATTTTTGTGAAATTAGTTTCGTTTGAAAGAGTGATCAATCTAGTTTTAGGAACTTTGAGCGTGCAGGTTGTACCTCCTTCGAAATTTAAATAAAATGCACTTGTGCAAAATATGTACTTAACATGTGCAAAATATGTACTTATTTTAATAATATTTTTATGTTCTAGTTAAAATACTGAAATAATTCTTGTTTACCTGGTTTCGTGAGCATTTTTTTTATACTTTTGCATTTTACATATTTTAAAAAGTTTGAAATTTGACGAGTTTAGAAATTTAACTTTGACATCAAATTTCTCAAAATTTGTCTACTCGATTTTTATGTTTTTTTTCTATTGATAGCTTGATTAATTCGCTATTAGATGTATTTGCGTGCAATATTGTACCTTTTCTAGATTTTTCTAAAAATAAATTTTTTCAAAAAAAGTCGATTTTGGTCAATATATTTTTTCCCTATAATTTGAAAAATACGAATCGTATTTCAAATTGGTAAATGCCAATCAAAAGATCTTTCAAAACTCTATAAGAATAATGCCTTTTGTTTAAGTTTAATTCCTTATATTTACGAAAATATCCTTTTATAAAAATTTTTTGAAAATACAGCTCTGCGTTTTTCAGCAACGTTGCCAACTTGGCACTAGCAAAATTTTGACAAATCCATGGACAACTTGCAGAATTACTTAAACGCAACGCTTTAATGGTTAGACAAATGGGGAATTCAAATAAATACAAATACAAATAAATACAAAACAGTACATGTCATCTACACGAATATGATCTAAAACGTATAAAAATTAACAATGATGAAGTCTTCACACACACGAAGGCAATTACCTTGGTATTACTATTGAGAGCAGATTAACGTGGAAAGACCAGATCAAAGCTAAAAGTAATGAAACTAAGCGTCGCTTTTGACAATTGTACTGGTTACTCTGCTCAAAATCAAAACTAACAGTGGAAAATAAGCTACTAATATATAAAACAGTAATCGCACTTATATGGAGACATAGAGCACAGCATGTAAATGCATCATACAAATACTGGAAAGACTACAATTAAAAATATGTAGGACTATCATCAACGCTGACTGGTACATCTTAAATTATGATATTTACCGTGACCTAAAGATACCCTTCGTCGCAGACATTATCCGTAAAAATAGTAAAAATTACACAGAGAGATTGAACTTCCATCTTATTCTAGCAATGAGGAAGCTACCAAATGACGAAGCCACATATAATAGACGATTGAAACGGTTATTTCCATCAGAACTAACAATAAAATAATTCATAATTAGTTATTTAATATGTTAATAGTACAATCTTAATATCATTGACTTATCTACTTTTACTAAATTTAATAATCTTATTTTACTTAATTTAAACAAGTCTTACAAGTTATTTTGTTTTATCACTTATTTTTAATAGTTCATATATGTAATTCTCAATATTGTTTAGAATTCTTATTGTAATTTCGACTATGTAAAAATGAATACTAGATGCCAATTTTTGGCAGTTGTATACCAGGTGTACCGGTATGAAGTGAGCGTAAAGATACAAATGTTCCGACAGGGAACATTTGTTGTGAACGAGCCTTTATTTATTTTTGTTTGTTTGGTATGACATGTGTGAAATATATTTATTATACATCAAGTCATTGAACAGACAACATCGTATTTTTTCATCGTGTAAAAAATGTCGAATTTTGTACGAGAAAGTGATGATTTGCGGAAAGCATTAATTTTTTGTTTTCATTTGAAGAAAAGTGGTGCAGAGTCGCATCGAATGCTTGTCGAGACATATTGTGATCATGCTCTATCAGAAGCAACATGCAAAAGATGGTTTCAACGGTTCAGAAATTATGATTTTGATGTGAGAAATGAAAAACGTGGAAGACCGCCAAAAAAGTTTGAAGACGCCGAATTGTAAACGATATTGGATGGAGATGACACTTTGGGTCAAAAGCAAATGGCAGAAATGTTAAATGTTGCACAACAAACAATTTTTGACCGTTTAAAAGCCATGGGAAAGATCCAAAAGTGTGGAAAATGGGTGCCACATGAATTGAATGAAAGATGGAAAACCGAAAAAACACTTGTGAAATTTTGCTTCAAAGACACGAAAGAAAATCGGTTTTGCATCGGATTGTTACTGGCGATGAAAAATGGATTTATTTTAAGAATCCTAAACGGAAAAAATCATGGGTTAATCCGGGACAACCATCAACATCGACTGCAAAACCAGATCGATTCGACAAGAAGACAATGCTGTGTGTTTGGTGGGACCAGAAAGGTGTGGTGTACCACGATCTCCGAAAACCTGGTGAAACCGTCAATGCTGGTCGCTATGAACAACAAATGATAAATTTAAACCATGCATTGATCGAGAAACGACCAGAATGGGCCAAAAGACACGGCAAGGTAATTCTGGTCCATGACAATGCACCTGCACACAAAGCAAAACGGGTTCAGGATGCAATCAAAACACTTGGCTGAGAGCTGCTACCCCACCCGCCGTATTCACCAGACTTGGCTCCTTCCGACTACCATTTGTTTTCATCGATGGGACACGCATTGGCTGAGCAGCATTTTGATTCCTACGAGGAGGTCGAAAATTGGGTGTCTGGTTGGTTTGCTTTAAAAGACGAACAATTTTTTTGGCGTGGTATCCACAAATTGCCAGAAAGGTGGTCAAAATGTATAGAAAGCAATGGCCAATACTTTGAATAAAATGTTTTTTACTTTCCTATTAATAATTAGTGTTTTATTTTCACCAAAAAACGCTCATTTCATACCGGTTCACCTAATAAATAAAAAGAAAATAAAAAAAAAAATGAAAAAAGTTATTGCTCTCAAACTGAAGTAGTGCTCTTGAAGGAGAAAATCGATTTTTTGCAGAAAAAAATTTATTTTTCTTAGTTAGGCACACGACTTATGGAGAGATGTAATCAAAAATATTAAATGTGAATTAGATCATTGGCCCAGAAATGCACAATAAGCAAACATTCAGGTTTCGGAATTATTTACCCACAGTTCTGTTTGCGAAGTTCAATGTCTGAATTCATAATTTTTTAAATTTTAAAATAATATACAAATACAATTTTAGGGTACCTAGTCAAATCTAGATACACAAGTTTTTATAAAGGTTTTATAATAAAATGCTTAATCTATTTGGCAGCATATTAATTATACTCGATTAAGTAAACGAGTAATGTTGTGGTTGCGGCTTGCTCATTTACTTGGAAGCACTAGAATTTTAATATGTCAGTGAAGGTCATATTTTAGTGTTTATCATTTTTAACAGGCCTTCGAACTGTATCGAAACCATTTAACTGCATGATACTTAAAATTCAGCAACTCAATTTCTAGATGTTTCTATTTTATACACAAATTAAAAACATTTTTGAAAATTTAAAAGTAAGAAAAAAAATATAAGCTGTATTTTCGTATTCGAAAATAATAGTTTTCGTAGTCATTTAAAAACTAAATCGCATTTTTTTATATTCACAGGACTATATTGCTCTTTGTGAAGAAATTCTGTCTAGACCGGACCCTGAAGCAAATGAACAACAATAACATTTTTATCTATATAACGTGTTTTTAACGATGTTGAATAAATTGTCGTCACGTCGGAAGTAACTAAAATTTTTTAAAAAATTAAAGTAATTATTATATAAATATTATACTACATTTTTTAACAATAAAAATTGTGTGAATATATTATATACATATACAAAAATGTAAAAAGTTTGATTACGCTACCACACTATGAAAGTGAGGTTTCTTGAACTGCGGAGACATGTATGAATTGCCTTATAGTTCAGCCATATGTGCTGAAATACTCAAAGTCGTGATTCTTATTTAAATTTCTTTTATTTATACTCAATTATTAAGTATACATTGTGACCGAAAAGTTTTCGGGAAATTTTAAATAAAACGCAAAATTCTTAATCTTCATCAATATTTATTTTATCTC